CAGATAACTAGGACTACAGGTGCACACCACCATACCTGGCTAATTTAAAAAATTTTTTTTTTTTTTGTAGAGACAGGGTCTTGCTATGTTGCCCGGGCTGGACTCAAATGCCTGGCCTCAAGTGATCCTCTCACTTTGGCCTCCCAAAGCACTGAGATTATAGGCATGATCCACCTAGCCAAGCCAAAACTCAGTTATTCATGGTTAAAGGACTGAGATCCTTGTTCCCCTGCAAGCTGACAGCTGGCATTTAACCTTAGCTCTAGAGGCCTCTCCCCAGTCTTTGCATGTGGCTCTGCATATCTTTTAAAATTGTATATATTTAAAATGCGTAACAGTGATGTTTTGATATATTGTACATACACAGTGAAATAATCATCATCGTCAAATTAACGTATCTATCTCCTCACACACTTCTCTCTCTCTGCGTGTGTGTGTGTGTGTGTGTGTGTGTGTGTGTGTGTCTGTGGTCCTGAATATTTTAGAAGCAGCAATGGCTTGTCAAATTCTCCTCATGCTTGAAATCTGTTTTTCAGGGCTCATCTGATTACACTGGGCCTGTCTGAATAATTTCATCATTTTTACTGGTTCCAGAGATTAGAGCATAGACATTATTAGGGGTTTATTATTCTGTTTACCATACCATCTATTTCTGTTCAGGCTGAACTATATTGCCTTCTTATGACACAGGTTAGGACCAGTAATCCCATGAAATTGGAGATACAAGTTGGGGTTTTCCTAACTTGAGAAAATAATAGTTTTAAAGTCCATATCTTTAACCTCGTACCAACATTCAAGTGATGAGTTGCAAGGTTTAGGGAAGAAGGAGAAGAAAGGGGATGATAATGATGATGATGATGATGATACTAAAATGGGGAGGCAAATAAAAATTCAGTTCCACATGATTAAGCACCACAGTAGCAAAACTTAATTATAGTCGAAATCAAAATGCCAATTCATTAAAACTACCAGATTTTAGTGCCCGATGTGTGGGCATATTGTACCCTTCAAAATACCAGTTCTGAAAGTCTTAAACATTTAAAATCCAATTCAATCTTTTCCCAATCATCAAAATATTATTAAATATTACTTTCAAATGCCTTTATAATGGTTTCACAATTAGCATGTTAATGTTAATGACTTGAAGTACTGTTTCCTGAGTACTTTATGGCTGATAAAAGTTTTTCAGGCCAAATATCCTTTGATGGAACTTTAGAGGTTAAGCTAATTATGTAATTTGAAGAATTCCAAATGTTTTGAGAGAGAGAGAGAGAGAATGGGTACCAAGTGATCAGAACACAAACAAAACACTGAAAACAATTTTGTCAAAACCAAAGATTCTGAAACTGAATGAAAAATTTCTGACTGGAACCTAATGATTCATCAGACTCAAATACTGTTAACTTAAATATCTGAGTCTGATGAATCATTAGGTTCCAACTGGAAATTTTATCTAACTTCACATATCTGTATTTTTACTCAGATATGTGCAAAATAATAAAAACTAGGAGACAACTCAAAAATCCTAATTACGAAAAATCAAAAGAACCAGAGTTAGAAGTGAATGATTAAGTCAACAAATTTCTACCAATGATCAAAATTTAAATCTTCAAAACATAATCGTTATTCACATATTTAAAGATTTCAGGTATGAGAGAGTTCAGTTTTGGACACAGACTACTGCAAGAGACTATTACTCCCACTCGAAAAAAAAAAAAAAACAAAAAACCGTCACAATATTTTTTAAAGGTACCTAAGAGCTGAGTTGGCGAACCAACCAGGTAACCTGAATTCCAAAATGTGACAAGCCCCTGAGGACAGTGGCATACATACCAACTGCTTTACCTTTTGCAAGGCATGAAGAGAAGAGGTAGTAATCATGTAAGCATATAAGAAAAAGAACTAAAATTTTACTGAATTCTTAAAGATTTCATATATAGAAATTGCAAGACATTTTGATAGAGAATAATCTGTAAAGTCCTTCCTAATAATAAAATAATTTAAAATAATGAATAGCTAACATTTAGCATGTGTTCACGAAATTTTAAGCATTGTATTAACATTAGTACCTATCATGCTTTATCAAATTAGACCTCACAACCTAGTAAGAAAGGGCTGTTCGTTTCCTTGCTTAACAGAAAAAACAGCACAGAGAGGTTAAGTAACTTGTCCAAGTTAACAGAGCTGGTGAATGGTAAAGCTGCCTCAAAGAGAGGCATCTTCACTACAGAGCCTGGATCATAATTACATGTCTCTTCTCTAATCTAGACACAGTTTCTTAATGCAATTTAAATTGTTAATTAATCACTTATTTTGTTCAGTCTTCACAGGCAACAAATTAGAACATTCTCCCGTTTCTTTTAGATATATCAAGACAGAATGCTAAGTCATGTTTAATACAGAATTTAACACAAACTTTTTACTGTACAGATTATACTACCATTACTTGATTTAAGGGTAATATATGACTCTACTCTACATGGGAAAAGTGGAAAACAGAGTAAATTTGAATCCGTTTGTTCTTGCCCCATCTGCCTATCTTAGAGCATTAAATTGCAATGAATTAAAGATCTACTTAGTTCCAAGCATCATTCATTCATTTAGCAAATATTTACTGAACCCCTACTATTTGGTGAGCTCTGTTCAAGGGGCTGGGGATACAAAAATCCAAGCAAAGTCCCTGACCTTAAAAGGTCTAGTGGGAAGAAACAGGCAATTAAAAAAAAAAAAAATAGGGGGTGATAAGGGCTATGTAAACAGGTAGTTGCCACCACTACAGAGAATATCAGTTCTGGAAAAAATTATTCACGATTAGTTTGGCTACACGTAACAGAAAAGTCCAATATACCTGAGACTTACACAATGCAGAATTTATTTCTCATGTAAAAGAAGTCTTGAGATAGGTGGCTATGGTAAGTTATCAGATTATCAGAGGCCCAGGCCCCTTCTCTCTAGTCCACACCCTTAGCAGGTGGCTTTAATCCTTATGTTCCAGGACAGATGCTGGAACTTCAGGAATCCTATCATCATCTAGACAGCAGGATGGAGAAACAAAGAAGGGTGGGCCTTCTTCCTTTTAAAGAGATGTAAGAAACGGCTGGGCACAGTGGCTCATGTCTGTAATCCCAGCACTTTGGGAGGCTGAGGTGGGAGTTCAAGACCAGCCTGACCAACATGGAGAAACCCCCTCTCCACTAAAAATACAAAATGAATCGGGCGTGGTGGTGCACGTCTGTAATCCCAGCTACTCAGGAAGGCTGAGACAGGAGAATCACTTGAACCCGGGAGGCGGAGGTTGCGGTGAGCCGAGGTTGCGCCATTGCACTCCAGCCTGGGCAACAAGAGTGAAACTTCATCTCAAAAATAAAAATAACATCAATCAGAAAACACAAGATACATCAGTAGCAATCACAATACAGTTCTTTATGACCAGATAGCAATCTCTATGTACCTACTAAACTCGTCCTCAATGGATACAATTCCTTATGTTAAAAAGAATCTAATGTACCAATTTAAACTTGCATTTATTATGTTAAGGCAATAGTTATGATTAGAAGGAATGCAAAAAAAAATTATTCCCATATTAGGAAGATGAAGTATTTCTTTTACCGGGGCAAACTATTAAACTGATTTTCAAAACTGACAGGCTCTCCCTGAAGTCCTAGAGAGGATCTTGTGTTCACTTTCTCAGCTGTTGCAAGTATTCTAGTTCCCCAGGTAACTCCTAGTAAAACCAAGACTGAACAAAGCTATTTCTCATCTTTAAATTTAGAATCATCTCATCGATTCCTATCTATGAGATCTATGTCTGAAGTGGGCTCTCCCAATTATTTTACATCTCAAAACTGTTTATTCTCATTATGGCATCTTAAATATTTTTGTTTATTCTTTCTCCTCCATTAGCTTACAGGCTCTCTCTGTTTTGTTCCCTTTCCTGAAGGAAATTATAATTTTTTGTGTCAAAAATATTTTCTCCTACGAGTTGCAATCTTAAGGGCAAGGATGTAGCTTCAAAGGAAGGCAAATGCTTTCTCCTTAGCCAAAGTAACATAAAGGTCACTTTTTGTAAAACATCAGGATATTGAATTTTAAAATGTTTTCCATACAACATTAGTTTAATGAACAGCTCAGCCTAGTATTCTGCACCTAGTTCCAATCAAAACCAAATTGTGAACAGATCCCTTCTTTACACCAATCTCACCTTTCAAGAACAAGCTAAAAGTTCATTAATTCCTTCCTCAAGAGGCAGTTACTTTTCAAGCTAAGGAACAAGCTAAAGAACAAGCACATACCTGGGCAAGGGAAGTTTAATTTCACTATAGAGTAAATCATTTTTTCAAGGAAACCAGAGGGCGTGTCATACAGCATCACTGAATATTCTAATATGAGATGAAGCTGTTATGCTTCCTTATGAACTTTATAAATCTTCATTTTTATGAGGCTTAGAATTCATCCCCCTTCCCTCTTCCACTGTTTTCCCGGGGTCACAGTTGTAGTATAGTTTGCCCAATGGATTTCGCATGGTCATTGTACCTGGAATATGTCACGCTCTCTACTCCAATCGCCCCCAAACTCTTCTCAGCAGAGATAGGCTTAAAGCAGCTTGCTTTTAGGCGGCGACGCAAACACACGTAGCCAGTTGAGCGACAGCAAGCAACCAAATGGCTTTGCTGGAGGCCCCCTGCGTTGCACGGGTAAAGCCCGTTGCAAAATACAGTCCTTTCATTTATTCCTCTGTTACTATTTATGAGACTTGTCAAGGCTGCAAGGGCATGCGCAGCCTTCCCACCACACACGACCCGCTGGGGTCTCCGGCTCCCCTAAAATTAAACCACTGTCTTTCGTTCCGACTCATGTTTAGCTGTTGTGCGTATTTTACAGATAAAGGAAGGATCCTGTCCACAGACCCAATTCTAAGGGCCGCCTTCTCCCCCACGGAGGAAGAAGCTTCCTGGCAAAAGGACGAACAGGTGCGACGCCCGCATTTCGCAGCCTCTCACCTGGCCGGCGGGCTGGGCTACTGTCCCCACTCAGCAGCTAGGGACGTGGGCCCCGCGGCGGCGGCCACTTGGGGTCTGCCGGGTCCCCTCTCTTTCCGCCTGCGCTCGGCCTCGGACCCCACACTCAAAAGCGCCTCACGCGTTCCGCCTTAGGCTCACTGTCCGATCTCGCCAGAGAGCGTCTGGATGGGACCGGGAAACGGCGGCCGTCACAGCTGTTCAGGTTCTGGGATCCACGCTCAGAGACGACAGCGCTGGTGATCACCAGAAGGCCTGCCGGCTCCCGGGAAAGAAAAATCCGTCCACAGTCCAGCGGCTGACATTTCCCAGTCAGCCGTAGCGCCGCCCGCTTCCGCCTCCCCGCCTACCCCATGGGCCGACCAGTCCCGCTCCCGCGGGGGGTTGTGGGTATCTGGAAGGCGGGTAAAGCTGCAAGGGAAGGAAGTTAGGGCGAGCCCGTCGGACTACGAAACGGGACGGAAACTACAATTCCCAGCAGGCCGTGGGGCCTCAGAGTGGGGCCGCGAAGCAAAGCGGGCTGTAGAGTCTTGCGCGCGCGGTGGGGATGGAACGTTGCTAGACTTAGCGGGTCTGGCTCTTGGGGGTCCGAGCAGCGCGCTCGGAGCCGCCGCGCGCCAAATCGGGAATCCGGGAGGTGAGCAGCTCTGCAATTAATGCACGTATTTTAAACTCCCGAGCCTGCGGACGCTATGCACAGGTAAACGGATTCAAAAAGGGAAGAGCATGAACGGACCCTCTCAATAATTCTTTTAGGCCGCGAATATCGCTACTGGCTAATATTGTTAGTAATGCTGTTAAGTGAATGGTTGCTTAGCCCCTTCTTGGGGAAAGTGTGAATGGATGAATGCCTTAGTGCGGGGATCAGCGTGCGGTTTTATCTGGCTTCCTTAATTGGGCTTTTCTGCCACCGTTTTCAATCAGTGTATGATTGCCCTGTCTCTCTCCTTGTCTGTTCCCTCCGCTGGGAGAAATTCTTGAGGCCTTCTGCAGGATCGTAAGTCAAAGAGCCTTCTCGATTTGTTCTTTTCATTTCTTCATTTTCTTGGTAACTCTCCGCGGGCACGTAAAAAAATGCGATTCTGTTAGCTGCTGTGAAGGTTTTCCACAATACATAAACTGCAGCTTCTTTAATGCCTTCCTTGGAATTATTTATGGGTGTGTTTTCGAAAGGAACCGGGGGTATTGTGCACTTCTGCAGGAAGCACCTCCAGGAGATTCCAGACCTGAGTAGCAACGTTGCCACCAGCTTCACGTGGGGATGGGATTCCAGCAAGACTTCTGAACTGCTGTCAGGCATGGGGGTCTCCGCCCTGGAGAAAGAGGAGCCCGACAGTGAGAACATCCCCCAGGAACTATTCTCAAACCTGGGCCACCCGGAGAGCCCCCCACGGAAACGGCTGAAGAGCAAAGGGAGTGAAAAAGACTTTGTGATTGTCCGCAGGCCTAAGCTAAATCGAGAGAACTTTCCAGGTAAGGATATGAGGGTAAAAATGTAAGTTATGCAAAGGGTGGATTTAGCTATGTTGTTGGGAAACCTTTGTTCAGGGATCTTTACCATGGGTTCCTTTTAAGATTGCCTAATTCTGAAGCTGTTTTTTCAACACAATAGGGCAAGTCGTCAAGTATGCAGGAATCTTGGTAGGTATATATGTGTGTGTGTATGTGTGTATATATATGTGTGTGTGTGTGTGTGTGTGTGCTGGTGCATAATCACCTTGAAAATTTTAACCCATGAGAAGACATTCCTGCCTTTTTCCTTAGAAGGGAATCTGTCTTCCTAAAGGCCAGCTCGGTGCCACCAATTAATAGAAACATAAAGCAGTGGTCTTCTTGTAGGATTCTTTTGCTTTGTACCCCTGAGTGAGCTTTTTGCCTTAATCACTTAAGTTATTTATCAGTGGACTGCTGAAGTGAACGTTCACCTAAGTGGGGGAGAATTATCTCCCCAGGCCCACTCCCACTCCCATATTATCTTCTCTGGTGTGTTCTGTCTCCATTACTGCTGACACTATCTGTTTAATCACCCAACCCAAAAACCTGAGAGTCAGTCCGATTCCCACCGCCCCCAACATCCACTCATTCATTGCATCTTTCCCTCTTCTCTGGTAACTATTTCTCAAGTTCTTATCGTCTCTTGCCTGAACTATTGAAGCGGATTCATAATTCCAACCTTCTTCTCCCCAGATCTATCCCCTAGAACTAGAATGGATTGACTGAAAAACTATTTCTTCCCTCCTTAATAGCTCCCCATCCCCTAGTTTCTCAAGCAGGTGAATGAGTGCCTCCCAGAGTGAACCAGAACCCTGGAGTATGCAAAAGCCATAGGGTAAATAAGGCATTGACCTGGGGTTATCAGTTTTTCTTACTAGTAAGCTATTTAAAACAGTAATGCAGCAAATATTTGCTGAGCACATACCATGTGCTAGGCAGTGTTCCAGGTGCTGGAGATACAGCAGTGGGCACAACATAAACATTTCTCCTCTCAGGGAGCATCCATTCTAGTGAGAGAATACAATAAACACAGTAACTATTTTTATATATATGTTAGAAGGTGATAAGTGCTATGGCTAAAACCAAAAATGGAACAAGCCAAGAGGGAATGCAGGTCCTGGGGTGGGAAGATAGAGTACACTTTTAAACCAGGTATTGAGGGAAAGCCTCAACTGGAGAGTGACCTTTAAGCAAAGACATAAAGGAGGCAAGGGAGTGTGCCATGCAGATATCATGGAGAAAAGAGCTCCAGGCAGAAGGAATAGCCAATGCAAAGACCCTGGTGCATAAATGTGACACATTTGTTCGAGGAACAGGGAAGCCATATTCTAAGAGTAGAATGAGCAAAGGAGAGAGTTGGGAGAGATCGGGCTGGAGGTAATGTTGAGCACAGTTGTGATGGGACCTGATTTAACCTTCTAAAAAGGACACACTGATGTGTTGAGACTCAACTGCGGGGGTGTCAAGGGTAGAAACTTAGGGTCTTTGTTAAATTTCATATTTTCAAGACAGAGGCTTGCTCTGTCACCCAGGCTGGAGTGCAGTGGCGTTCTCTTGGCTCACTGTCTTCACCTGGATTTGAGAGATTCTCCTGCCTCAGCCTCCTAAGTAACTGAGACTACAGGCATGCACCACCACGCACAGCAATTGTTTTGTTTTTTTGTAGAGTTGGGGGGGGAGGTCTCACCATCTTGCCCAGGCGGGTCTCAAACTCCTGGACTCAGGCGATCCTCCAGCCTTGGCCTCCCAAAGTGCTGGGATTACAGGAATGAACCACCACACCTGGCCAAAGTTTGTAGTCTTGTTGGGGGTGAGGGTGGTCAGATTCCAGATATATTCCGACATTAAAGTCAACAGAATTTAGGAGGCTGTTGAAATCATATGTAGAAGAGGTGATCAGAGTCTAAACTGAAATCAGGTGGGGGATGATGGCGAAGAAGAAACAGATAAAAGATTTAAAGACAAAGTCTTGCAGACCCAAGGTAATTAAGTATATTCATAAATTCTCCCATCTGGTTTCCTTTGCAGAAGGGTTGATAGATTGGTTGTTTAGTTGGTTGGTTGGTTGCTTGCTTTGGCAACACATATACTAAAACTGGAATACAGAGAAGATTAGCATGGCCCCTGCACAGGATGACACGCAGATTTGTGATGCATTCCACTTTTTTAATTTAAAAAAAAACCACACATTTGTTTACAGCCTTTTCTTTAGGAAAGAGAACTTTGCCCAATTTATGGTTTGAGAATATATATCAGGAGTTGGATTAATTAGAGAAGCAGTAGAGGGTCGTAGTGAAGTCAGTTCTGGGTTTGAATCCTCATTCTTGCATTTATCAGCCTTGGAAAGTTATTTGAGCTTTCTGTGCCTTAGTTCCTTTATCTGTGAAATGGAGTGCTGTAATAATACCCACTTCATAGGTCATCGTGAAGATTAAATGAGAGTGACGTAAAACCCTTAGCATGCCACTGACACATAACAATAAATAAGACAAAATTCCTGACGCCAATTTTGGAGGCTAGTGGACTTTTATCTTTTGTTTTTAATATTGTTAGTCTGACCCTGTTAGTGTAAATTTTTTTTTTCTTCAAAATTTAGTGTTCACTGCTATTTTTTGTGTCTGGAATGTAGCCCTAACAATTTGGTGCTTGACCAACCAAATGTGGTGAAAGATACTTCCTGCTAAGATGAACAGATTTTTATTAACTTGTCCAGTGCCGATAGCTTTTGACATAGAGTGTGATTGCCAAATGCCCTTCCACAAGTGAAAAAGATTTTTTTTTTAAGCAAGGCACTGTGGGAACAAGATAAAAGTTTCCGGAGTCTTTGCTATCTCCCAGGAATTTGCAAGTCAAGTTCAGGAGAAAATACAATAAAAAATAAGAGCAGTTCACACACAGCAATACATGGAGACTCATAGATTAGCGGCAGATGAGTAGCTTAGGCAGTGAGTGCTGCAGGGGGCCGGGGGGATCCTGTGCACAAATCACCCAAAGTGTCCCAGAGGCAGAGGCCTCCTGCGGTGATTCCCATTCAGGTGGATGTGGAAGATCTTCCTCCTTCCACTCAGCAAAAAAGAAGGTTCTGAGGAAAGAGAGGGATCTGAAAATGGTGTAATCAGTGTCTTGATTGTTAAAGCTGAGTTCAAAGGTATATATCTGAAGTGAAATGAAGTGAGAAAGAAAGAATGGTGACTTTTATGTTTATTACCTAAGGAGAGGCCCAGAGGGAAACCAATGTATGTGGACTTACACACAACAGAGGTTGCTTAATTGGTATGGAGTGGGGAAGGGTGAACTCAGTGATGCAGGATGAGGGACAGCTGCTCTAGAGGATTCCCAATGGGCCTTTGGAAGCCTGGGCCTCCAGTGGAGCCGGATTGTCATTCCAAGGAGTTTTGTCTGCAGTTGTCAGGACAGGTGGCTACTAGCTTTGCCAGGATTAGGGTAGAATAGGCCACACCTGCTGTACATAGATATCTGATGACTGGTTCTGGGCTGCGAGTTTTTGTTCTTTGCTAAGCAGTTTCTCCCTGCAGGCCCCAGTCCAGCCTTACATCTGGCAACTAAATCCTCTTCATCTGTTTATCTTGGAAGATGAAAGCTCTGTGGCCAACCTGTACTAGAACAGGTCTGATTGGCCTTTGGAGTGAGTGTATGGAAAGAGTTGGGGAGGAAATGGCCCAGCAGTGAGGTCAGTATCAGGCAGAAAGGGGACAATTGCATTTTATTTATGGTCATGAAATGCTTGTCCCCACCCCACCCTTTAAACAGGTGATAGCCATGAAAATGGAGTTGAACTAATTTGTTGATCAGCTCTTCCATGACTCTTAAATGCTTGAAATTCCAGACCCTAAAGTGGTTGTCAGACTTGAGATACTAAAATGTAGTGTATATCAGAATC